CCCCGCCCTCTCTGTCCTATTGTCTGTTTGTCCGTGGCTGCAACAGGCCAAGGTCTCGGCATGCCCTGGCCTCCACCTGCCCTGCTTGCTGGCTCAGCTGTTGCCGGGACACTTCTTGGCCATGGTGGGTGCTGTGCTGGCTGCCAAGTGGCTGCCCATGCTGCTGATGACCTCACAAGGGTTCTTCATCTTCCTGGCAGGGCAGGTGGAGGCCAAGGTGTGCTGAGAGCTTGGCCCCAATTGAGGTCACGGGCAAGCAGACAGTGGGATAGAAAGGGCGGGGCCGGTGGTAGCTGCCCAAATGCTTTTCCCCGAGAAGGAAACGAAGCTTTGTCTGCTTGCAAAGTGAACAGACTGAAACAAAGCTACCGGTAATCGCTCCGTTTCAAACCGCTCCCTTTGCAAGCAGACAAAGCTATGTCTCTCTCTGGGTGAAAAGTGCGCAGCAGAGCCAGGTGGAGGCAATCCCAACCCTGTCAACCCACCCTGTCCCACTGTCTCTCGGCTTGCCAGCAGCCGTGCCAAAAAACTACAGGGCATCGGCATCACCTGCCTTCCCCATTCCCCATGCCTCTGCCTGCTGCAGTCATGCAAGCCGCCCACGAGTCAGGCAGCCGCGCAACATATCCAGATTGCCTGTCTTCTCCCCCGCCTCTGCCTCCATGCTCAGACTTATCGGTATTTGCGCTGCGCCAAGAGGCTGCTGGGCTGTGTCTGCTGCCAGACATCGTCAGCCCCCACGCGCTCGCCACCTCTCATGCTGGCCCGGCCCCCTCTGTGCTTATTTTTGAGGTAGGGCTAGGCAAGGCTTACATTAGGCCACCCCAAAGAATTAGGCTAGAGCTTGTTTTTGAGTGGATCTTATTTTCAGGAAAACACAGTATTTACTAGGAATAGGATGTAATAATTGTATTATTTACTTACAATGGTCTAACCTAAACAGTATTCCAGACAGTTAACAAATAGACATTATTCTAAAATGCAAGAATATTAAAACTTTAAAAATATCAAAAAAATATACTGAAAAATATGGGAAAAGGATCTATTGCAGCCTGACTTTTCATGATACTTATGAAAATAACAATAAAAATGTACAGTATTAATAAACAATTCCTTATTTTAGCAATATGATTAGCATACTGAATATTTGACCCAAGAAAATGAAACCAATGTGATTAAATATTAAGAGAATGTGTTAGATAGCATTATAAGAAAAACTGACAGCACTTTACATTTTTATTCCTTTGGGAACCATTTACAGTAACAAAATTTTGCATATGCAGGACCCTTACCTACCAAGTCAGCTTTCTTTAAAAAAAAAACACCTACATGCACTATAGAAATTTTTTCTGAGTGAAATAAAATGCATTCTTCTAAAAATTACATTCCACTACAAAATTCCAAGACAGAAGCTCCCCAAATTGCATGCATTAAGATAATAAAGCCATGCTTAAAAAAGAAACCATTCTATATTCTGAATAACATATAAGCCAACCAAATTTATTGAACTGTTTTCCCAATGTACTGAATTCAATGGCTCTGTTTAATGTCCATTCTGCAATTGTCACAAAACTTACGCACCATTCACCTTCTCATTCCATTCTAGTACATAGTTTCACTCTTTCTTTCCTCCTACTGTACACACTTCACTTGAAGCACTCCTTTAATTTTAATGTCCTCCCACCTCTAAATCATTATTTCCATGTTGTTGTTTTTATTCAAGTATCTTTCTGCAATACATCAGATCTATTTCCCAGGTTTTGCTTGTTCTTCTCTCAGTTACAGGCAGACAACAATGTTAAGCACTTCAAAAAGTCTAATCTATTTCAAGGATTTTTTCCTAATGTAAAAGTGTTTGAAGGCAAGACTAAGATGCGCTCCTAGTAACCATGTTAAAAAATAAAAAAAGAAGATTAGTTACTTTTTAAAAAGTTTGCAGATGAAGATTATTTGAATTACAAATCAATATTCCAGAGGTCTTTTTTCACAGACCAGTTTATTTAGATAGTTAAAAACTACAGAACAGATAAAGATAGAGGTAGCTGGTGGTTAATTTTTTCTAATTGTAAAATAGAAACATTTTAACCAGATCCAATTATCTGAATAACTTAACAAAAACAGCTTTTCCATTGAATTAGAAAAGAAGTAGGTTTTAAAATGATAGTTCATTTAGTTCAGCATGTGTCCTCCAATACTGTTTGATTACACTAGTTTTAAATTCTATTTAAGAAACTCTGTGCTGGGGGGTATTACTGAAGAGTTTGAGAACCTGCAAAATATAAAACTATTCCCAAATTATGGTAACAACAGCATATTATTGCTAACATTAGCAATTGTGTTGCTGCCTTTTCCCAATTACCTATAATTTTAAACAAATATATCCAGTTGTATTTTATTATCTTATGTTTATGGTATTAAATAGTAAATGCATTCTAACATAATTGCCACTAATTATCTCTAAAAAGTTTTTTTGTTTCCAAACAGGTTTCATTTAAGTGTTCACTGTATGAACAGTTCAGTTTCTAATTTATAATATTAATAAGATGCCTTAACTGCAAGAATTTGGCTAGCTGAAATATAGAAATCTCAAAATCACGAAAGCATGATAAATCATAAATGGTTATGTACAAAATAGTCAACTCTAACCTTAAAATATAATCACTACAGATAGCGTGCAGCAATAGTTCCTATCAATCTGTTCTCCAAAAACTGGAAGAAAGAGGATGGTTTTGACTTATTTGGAGCCAAAAATAAACGATATTATATAAAATAGTCATCACGTATTGATTACAGATGGTTTTATAATCCTTTCAAATTATATAGTTTTTAGATATACAAATATTTTATTTTTCTATATTTTTAAAACTTAAATAACACATTTAAACTTGGAAATATTCCAAGCTACTGCAGTACAACAAAGCAAAACATGTAGAATAGACACACATAAAAAATTGACAACTGTTTAGAAAATATTTTTCTATGCTGCAACTATGTGCTGAAGCAAAAATTCTTGAGTAGATATTCAATGAATCAATTCATTAGGGTACCATCCAAATTAAAAAAGAGATAGCTAAATGTAGCCTGTTCATCAAAAGCAACAGATTGCATTGTTGTTAGTTTTTTTCCCTTTGAACATTAGATGACCAGTCTTTCTTTAGCTTCTCATTACTTCAGCTCCAAATCTGTTCTAGCATCAGAACTGGTTTCAATATGATGAAGCATGAAAAGTCAAGGGGGATTCACACATCTATGCAACAATTCATTTTCACTTATTGCCAATACAGGTATTCCTTGACTTACCACAACTGAGCCCCAAATTTCCATTACTAAGCAAGACAGTTACAACATTTTACAACCTTTTTGCCTGTTAAGCAAATCATTCAATTGTTAAGTGAATCTGATTTCCCTCATTGACTTTGCTTGTTGGAAGCCAAATGAGAGGTTTACAAAAATGATCACATGACCCTGGGACACTGCAACTGTCATAAATACATGCCAGTTGCCAAAAGTCCAAAATTTGATCATGTGACTATGGGAATGCTGCAACAGTTCTAAGTGTGAAAACTGGCCAGTAGTCTTTTGACTAAATGAATGGTTGTACCATGTACCATGTTTTCCCCAAAATAAGACCCTGTCTTATATTTTTTTGAACCTTGAAATAAGCACTTCATCTTATTGCCATGTGCTCAAAAGCCCAATTGGGCTTATTATCAGGGGGTGTCTTATTTTGGGGAAAACAGGGTAAGTCAAGGACTACCCGTATATATAAACAGATCAGACACAGATAGGCAAATTTTTAATAATATATAAAAAACAAATTTATGTCAACATATGCCAAAAAACAACATGCATATTATTTCAAAGCTTACAAACTATATTTGAAAAGCAAAGGAGTATACAAAGTACTTTTTCTAGGGAAAAACAAGGACATTTAAATATTATATTTCCATAATTAAAATTAGCAATGTTAATAATAAACTATATTGTAATTAACTTCATTGCTCAATTCTCTTGCTTCAAGATAGTTCATATTCACAGTATAATAAAAAAGTTACTTTAGTGACTTAATTACGTTACAGCATTTTTAATGTTCTACATTCATTTTAATCTTTTTGGAGTTTATACTTTTCAAAGTCTGTTCCCATAATACTTTAGCATTACAGTACTTAAAAACTGGATGAGAGAAGTTGGCATTAATTCACGACTATTTTGTTTTTATCACTTTATAACTAAGCAAGGCCAACCTAGGCAGTACATCCAGAAAGATAAGTAAGTAAAGTCTATTTGCTAAACAATCCCTAACTAAATGTGTTGCATTTGTGCAAAGACTTCCAAGAAGCTGGCAGGAAACTATGAGAGTTGTAATTCAACTCATCTGTAGGGTGCTACACTGAAGATGACTGATAATATCTTTAGTTATATTTGTACTGGAAAAAAGGTTTCTAACGCCTCTACATTTTATACCAGCTGATTTTACAGAAAGAACTAGTTACTCAGCATTTTAGCAATTAAGCATCAAAACTAATATTTGGACACCAAAATGAATGGGATTTCCACTACAACCTACTTCTAGACTTTGACAGATGTTAGATTCAAGAGCATCTCCAGGCCACAATATTATTCACAGAATCACTCTGACATGAGGTTAAGCAATCATTACTTCAGCCATATCTAGATTTAGTTCAAGACCATGAATTGCTTAAATAATGAATTGGTTCAAGCTGATTAGAAACCATCATTCAATTAACTAAGAAATATGGAAAACTTGAAAGTTTTACTATACTATTTCTAAAACAGCATTTAAAAATAATTATTTAGAAAAATGTAGTATATTGAGACATTTTTAAAAACCCAAAACTAAATACACCATTCACTTTGTCTGCATTCTTAAATATAATTAAAATAAATGTCAACTGATTTAATGTTTCTAGAAAGCATTGTTTATAGAACTAAGGCATGAGTTAGCTAATCAATATTAGGAATATCATAAAGCAGAGTACCACAGGTTGCCGTCATCTTTCTATCCAAATGTCTCTACCCCAGTCGATTTTGTAATGGCGAAAATAGCACTAATAGAACTATAGCCAATACAGTATTCTCTAATTCTCTTTCTTCGTGCGGGCGCTGTTTCTCCCTATCTTTAAGAATCTGAATTCAACCCAGCTCTTAAAGAACAAGGATCGGTCAGGAAACAGCTCTTCTTTAAACTGAGGATCTGGTTGAATATTATCTCCGCTGCTGCTGCTGCTGCAATCCACCCTTTAAAAGCTGAAAACGGATTCTGGCAAGAGAATGGGAAGCGGAAGAAGCTTATCGCAGCCTGAGGAGCGGCCGCCCAGCTTCCCGCTGGGGTAGAGAATGGAAACAGTGAGCTGCTTCAGCTCAGCCGGACTAGGTGGGGCTGCGGCTCCCAGCTGAGGCCGCTGCCGCTGCCGCCGTCGCCATCCAAGTCCGGCCGGCAAGAACTTTTTTTTCCCCCGCAGCGACAAGTAAGGCGCGAGTTACTTCCTCCTCCGAGCCCACGTCGCCTTCTTCGCCCAACAGTCCCAAGTAGGGCTGGCCTCGGACGAGGGGCTCTAACTTTCCCCTTCCGCTCGAACTTATCTTGGCGAGGCAGCCATAACCGAGAGAGGGAAGAGTGAGGACCGGAGCAGCGTTTGCCTTGCTTCTCCCCCACCCCCTGCAGGGAGCGGCGGGGTCGGTTCCGCCTCCGCCATGTTCTCTCTCAAGAGCCTTGTCCCGCCCGTAAAGCGCCGCCGCCGCCGCCGCCCCCTTCCTAGCCAGCCCTCAGCCGCTTCGCAAGCACTCGTTGCCGGCCCACTTGTATCAGACCCGCGCGGCGCCGCACATACCGCGTCCACACAGCCCCCCGTAGTTCCCCCGCGCGTCCCTTCTCCCGCCTCCCTCCCATAACGGCCTCTACCTACCGGACGGCGTTCCAGCTCCCCGCGTCCGCCGCCGCCTCCCTGACCAAACCCTCTCTGCCTGCGCGTGCCCTCCCTCCTCTCTGTCTCTAGCTGGGCGAGGCTTCCAGCCGTCGCCGTGACGCTGCACGCCCAGCTTCTCTCTGATTTCCCTGGCCCAGTCCAGTGATGCTTAAGAGGGGGGGGGGGAAACGGCGGGGGGGGGGGGGGGCGAGAATGACCTCTCAGCTCTACTGGGAGCGCGCACGCGCATAGCTCAGCCTGGAAACACCGCAACCCTCCCCCGTCCTTCCTTTCTCTCCTCCCTCTTCCCCATAACCTTACGCAGGGCCCCATCCTGTCGCAGCTTCTGAGATAGAGAAGTCGTTCGAAGCGCGTGTCCTGTAGACGCGGAGCTGAGAGACGAGAGGAATAACTTCCTCCCCCCGCCCCCCACATCGCCTACATAACTCCCCTCACTACAAAGCTCCTAAAGGTGTGGGAGGAAGTGATGTGCAAGGAACAAACGCAGCCACCGTGTGCTGGGCGAGGCGAGGGCAGGTTCGGTCGGCCAGCCTTTTTAGGCAAGGGGAAGAGCTAGAAAAACTCCCTAATACTAAGTACGTTCAACTTGGCAGAGGCAACTTCCGAGAAATCGTATACCAAACGGTCAGTTTTTCATCATGGCCGCTTAAATAATCGCAATTAATATAAAGACCGTTCCTGATAGAGAGCCATGCTGTTCTTGAATCCCCGCCCAGTTTGGTAACCATGTCAGTTTCCGTTTTGCGGCTGAAATTACTTCTATAAGCTTCAACGTGAGACAGCAGCCCAGTTGCAGGCAGAAATAGTTGAAGTCTTCTTAAAGTGGATGAAAAAAGATCTGCCTGCATGGTAGTTAAAGAACGATGTGCTTCTTAGTGCCTCAGAATCTGAGTGAACCGATATCTGACACATGGGGATGGCTATTAAGAACTACTTTCCTTTCCTTTGCAAGAAGTCACTTTTGTTCCTCCTCTCTTAATGCAACAAAAATTAACTACGAGTAATATCACTGACTTATGCATGTTACTGAAAAGTAAATCTGCTATAAGACTTACTGCCAGGTAAATATGCATACAGTGCTGCTAGTTGGAATTAATTATATACAATTTAACTGGGCATTTCTGAATAGCAAGGTATATGAGAAAACTGTAAAGATTGTCACAACTAATTTATTGTTATTAATAGAACTGAATCATGGGAAACTTTCAGTAGATTAGATCTTATATCAGAAAACGGAATAGAGTGGAAAAAATTACTAGCATAGGAGAAGGCAAATTGTATGCATCTTCAGTGTGTGCATCTTCAAAATATATTCCTATTTTTAATATTTTAGATATATGATTGTTTTAATTAGCCCTAATCAAGTGTATTCTGAAGGATGCTAGACTTGGCAAAGGAATTTACTAATATTTTTGATTAGGATTGTTGATACTTAAAGCCATTTTACATTTATTGATTTATATTTGCTAACAATTCTGTGCAAAAGAATACACATAAATGTATAATTTACAGAGACTGTTCTACAATAATGACAGCTGGTTCAAAATAAGACAGGTAGCATCTTTTCAAACCAACAAGTATTGTAAGGCTTAAACCTTCATAGTTTTTAGTAAATTGACATGCCTCTCCTCCTACAGTGATTTCAAATTCTAGTACCCAGATGTTTGAAGTCCCAACTCTTTTACACATGTTCAGTTGAATGTGTTTAGATTATGTTCTTAATGCCTTACATGCAGACATCATCTGGGTAAACAGGAAAGTTGGAAGCCCCTTGAGTAAGGCTTATATTTAGGATTCCATATCTTTCTACAAGCAGTTGCAAAAGAAGTCTAAAGAGGATTGGCTTTATTGTACAGAGCAATAGTGACAATAATTCTGCATTTACAGTACTGTGATAAGATACATTAATATTGCATCCAATGCAGGGGTGGGTTCTACTTACCTTTATTACCGGTTCGCAATGGGATCGCACGCACGTGCTTCTGCACATGCACAGATCGCTGATTATGACATCTGGGGTGGTGGGCGGGGCCTCCCACTGGTTTTACTACCGGTTCTTGTGAACCGGTCCAAACCGGGGGCAACCCACTACTGATCCAATGTGTGGAAATGATGAATTATGCCATGAATAACAACAAAAACAAAAAACAACAAAATTTAAAACCTGTAGAAACAAAAAAATATGGGGAACATTTTGGAAAATCCCTAGTGCTTATCAACCAGCCTTATACAGGCAGAAAATATCTTCATGCTTGCCCTCATGCAAGTGAGACAGCGTACTCTGATGATGAGAACATGGCCTCAATTCATCCTATTGCATTATAAACCAGATGATGTTGCCACAATCTTTGAGTCCCAATGTCACAGCCGACAACTCCATTACAATTCCTACTCAGCATTTCATGCAAGTGTTTTACTACCTTTCATTCAGAATAGCTTCCTTGCAGAACAGCTGAAGAGATTGTACAAAGCTGTCATAAGAAAATGGTTCCAAAGTCAGTCAGCCCAGGAAATGAAAAAATTAAAGCAAGGGAGAATCCCAGCCAAGCAGTGGAGTTACCTCTGTTATGATCTCCCATCAGCAACTTAGAAAAGCTCATTGCAAAAGTTAGGAAGCAGGAGATAAAAATCCCATTTGACAAAGTTTTTTTAAAAAAACCTCTCCAAGAAAACCCCTTTGTTATACAGGTGAAACTCAAAAAATTAGAATATCGTGCAAAAGTTCATTTATTTCAGTAATGCAACTTAAAAGGTGAAACTAATATATGAGATAGACTCATTACAAGCAAAGTGAGATAGTTCAAGCCTTGATTTGTCATACTTTTGATGATTATGGCTTACAGCTCATGAAAACCCCAAATTCATAATCTCAGAAAATTAGAATATTGTGAAAAGGTTCAGTATTCTAGGCTCAAAGTGTCCCACTCTAATCAGCTAATTAAGCCATAACACCTGCAAAGGGTTCCTGAGCCTTTAAATGGTCTCTCAGTTCAGTAGGAATCACAATCATGGGAAAGACTGCTGACCTGACAGTTGTGCAGAAAACCATCATTGACACCCACCATAAGGAGGGAAAGCCTCAAAAGGTAATTGCAAAAGAAGTTGGATGTTCCCAAAGTGCTGTATCAAAGCACATTAATAGAAAGTTATGTGGAAGGGAAAAGTGTGGAAGAAAAAGGTGCACAAGCAGCAGGGATGACCGCAGCCTGGAGAGGATTGTCAGGAAAAGGCCATTCAAAAGTGTTGGGGACTTTCACAAGGAGTGGACTGAGGCTGGAGTCAGTGCATCAAGAGCCACCACACACAAACAGATCCTGGACATGGGCTTCAAATGTTGTATTCCTCTTGTCAAGCTGCTCCTGAACAACAAACAATGTCAGAAGCGTCTTACCTGGGCTAAAGAAAAAAAGAACTGGTCTTGCTCAGTGGTCCAAAGTCCTCGTTTCTGATGAGAGCAACTTTTGCATCTCATTTGGAAACCAAGGACCCAGAGTCTGGAGGAAGAATGGAGAGGCACACACTGCAAGATGCTTGAAGTCCAATGTGAAGTTTCCACAGTCTGTGTTGATTTGGGGAGCCATGTCATCTGCTGGTGTTGGTCCACTGTGCTTCATTAAGTCCAGGGTCAACGCAGCCGTCTACCAGGAGATTTTGGAGTACTTCATGCTTCCTTCCGCAGACGAGCTTTATGGGGATGCTGACTTGATTTTCCAGCAGGACTTGGCACCTGCCCATACTGCCAAAAGTACCAAAACCTGGTTCAATGACCATGGGATTACTGTGCTTGATTGGCCAGCAAACTTGCCTGACCTGAACCCCATAGAGAATCTATGGGGCATTACCAAGAGAAAGATGAGAGACTTGAGACCGAACAATGCAGAAGAGCTGAAGACCAATATTGAAGCATCCTGGTCTTCCATAACACCTCAGCAGTGCCACAGGCTGATAGCATTCATGCCATGCCGCATTGAGGCAGTAATTGATGCAAAAGGGGCCCAAACCAAGTACTGAGTACATATGCATGCTTATACTTTTCAGAGGTCCGATATTGTTCTATGTACAATCCTTGTTTTATTGATTTCATATAATATTCTAATTTTCTGAGGTGAATTTCATGAGCTGTAAGCCATAATCATCAACATTATGACAAATCAAGGCTTGAACTATCACGCTTTGCATGTAATGAGTATATCTCATATATTAGTTTCACCTTTTAAGTTGCATTACTGAAATAAATGAACTTTTGCACGTTATTCTAATTTTTCGAGTTTCACCTGTATACGCCTGACTGAAAAATGTCAGATTGAACAAGAAGCTTCAAGAATTTGGATCCAACTTTCAGTTTTGGTAGAGCTATTGCCAGCTAGCATTTCCCAAAGATTCTCAGG